TTCAGACATCGCCTCATTTTGGAGGGCCCACAATTTTACAATACCGTTTGCCGACTTCGGAAAGATAAGACATTATACTTTTATTGTTAATATCATTATTTGTCATTATTTGGGTTCCATAACATAAATTTCGTCTGATTAGTTAATACTCATAGTCAAGTTTAGATTAGCATTAGTCTTAGTTGTATTTTTTATTATTCCATTTGCTTAGGCTTACCATGGTATTTATTATTTTATTTTTAGAATTACCTCTAATTCATCTTACTGATATATCTATAATTAATTTAACCATATTGTTTTTTTTTCCTATTCACCTGGTTTGTATGGAACTATTAAGCCAAGGTCCACACAATCTTATCCCAATATTGTACATACTTATTGTTCAGTTAAGTATTTCTTTTAGGGCTTAGTAATATTTTTTATTTATTGTTCAATTAGACTTTTTAAATATTTATTTTTGGTTTACTAGTTGTTCTACTTCCAAGTTAATCATTAATTCCATTAAATATCTTGTTTGATTAGGCTAATAAGTGTCTGTTAATTTTGGTTTCCCCATGGTACTTTTATGGGTTTATCAATGTTTAGGTTATTTGGCTTCAACACAGAACATCACATCCATGTGTTTATTTCACTAAACAATTTCTTACCATTAATTTAATTTGATTTGTACTGTATACTCATTGCCTTTAATATTGTTTGTGAGGACCCAACCTACCAGCTCCCAGTATTGTTCATCTTCTTCTTATAATGGCAGAACAAATTTTTCAGACAACCTAGATTTGTTAATTTTCCTCCACTTTTCATGAAGTGCATTCAAGGCGTCAACTGCAGAATGTGCCAGGCTTATCTGAGTTATTTTTCGACATGTTTCCTCTCCTTACTCAACTTTGTCTGTTATATTTCTTTTACACTCTTACCCATTGGGTTTAGATTGTGATTCAATTGTGTTTTTTCTTTCTTATACCCTTCTTTCCACCTTCACTTCCCGGTGTTTTCACTCCTAACCTGTACCTCCCTTTTTCCCTGCAAGTCTACCCTGCCATCAGTTGGAGGTACTTTGTCTGTAGAGCACTGGGATTACATCTCATACATTCTTCTCCCATTCTCTGCTTTGGGTAGCTGTTTCTTTCTTGTCAGGGTACTGTCATTCACGTTTTGTTATTTTTCACTTTTTCATGAGACTGTGACTGGGTAATTTATCTTTTATACATCTTCTTTTTCA